GAGAGAGAGAGATTTTTGACCAGGAGCCATTGAAAGAAACACCATTTTTCTCACAAATTCAATCTCACTGAACCAATTCACAATGAATCACTGCTGCCTACAGCGCGGTCACGTCATTCTAGTGCAGTCTCTAACATAATACTAAATCACGCGTCGTTGGAATTTCGGTTAATGCTGGCTAATTTAAGTTGAATTTGCAAGCAGGCATTCATTTTCTGCAATAAGTATGACTTATTCACTTATTTGTCGAATTGCATTCTGATGCTGAAAGTTTCTATTTATTTTCGTTTATGCTATCACTGGTTAGAAAATAAATAAGTCGTCAGTGTTCAAATAAATACTATTTTTAAAGCGCATTCTTGGTCAAAATCAGAATTAATAAATATAGCCACCATGTCAGGCAAACATCTAGTGCAGCAACCAAGTCTGGTGGCTGCAGTATATTTAAATTAAATCATTTTAGTAAACGTAGTTCATTACTGATAATAATAAATAATAACTACTAATAATCACTGTACCTGGTGCAGCCAGACGATCTTGTACACAGCAGGACTGGAGTCAACTGTGCACTCGAAGTACACGTCGTCTCCTTCCTCGATCTCGGTCAGGTCCAAAGACCGGCCCGGACTGAGCACGGCTCTCGGGATATCTGCGTGAATATCATAACATTCATTATTCTCGTATCATTATCATCATAACCCTTCATCATGAGCCTCGTCTCATGTACATCATTGCATCACTACCAGGATCCCAGCGAGGACATCACTACCATGATATCTGCGTTACTATCACCATCCTCAACGTCATCACTACCATGAATCATAGTACCATCATCATAAATGACTAACAGGCCAACCCGGCGCTGGTCGAGCTAGTATTATTTTCGAGTAGGCTCAAAATTCTATTCAGTATGAAATCTATTCAATATCAACAAAAGGGAAAGGCAGTTTGAATTTCCGTATTGGGTTCCAGTTATTAATACGGATTGTATAAAGTTTTTTTATTGGGTATAAATGCACAACAAAGTCTCACGTTTCAGATCTTGTGCATTTTATATTCCGTTTGTTGATCTTTCAACGCGTTTGTATTATAATTGTGTTAAATAAATACGTTCGAGCGCGATTTATGATAACATGAAATATATGACATGAATGATCACTTAGAAATTGATATAAACCTTGGTAAATTTCAATAAGAAATTTCCCAAACTATTTTAATAATGAAATGAATGTATGAAAACAATATATATCAGTACTCACTGCAGTGACTGTCAGAGAGCGCATTTTCTCGTCGACGAAAACGTGAAGTCACGAACGGACAGACGGACGGACATGGCGAGCACAATAGTGCATTTTTTCCATAAATGAGAAAATGCGCTAAAAGACCAAAATAAAATTGAGAATAGAAAATTCAGTTATGAGGAATGGCTGAAAAATCAAATGGCTTTATAATCAATACATGTACATTTTGCGTATCAATGCATTAAAATTTATTTAAATGGCATAAAAAGTTTAAATAGGCCATATAAATGCCTTAAAATGTTTGAATGAATGTAAAAAGTATGAAATCAAATTATGAAATCAAATTTACAATTCAAATAGCAAATCATTTTGCAAGAAACGCATGTCATAGCAAACGATAATTGAAATTTATAAAAATAAACATGATATATTCGTAAAAAAAGGTTGATAATTAATGAGAAATTGTTAGAAATTACTGTTTCATATTCTAGAATCAGCATTAACGTCCATGCACTCGAAAAATGATGAATATTATTATCCATATAATGACGCACTTTCTTATCAACAGCACGAGCATAGCTATAATGTAGCACTGCTACGCACGTCTGCCGAGCCAGACTGCGTCAGGATGACAACAAGCTTAAAAACCCGGACCAAAAAACCGGCAAAAATTAAGTCGCTATTCGAACGAAGGGTCACTCACAGTTTCATACAAATACACAACATACAATTTATCACACTACAATGAAATACAGGCCAGCAGAGAGGATGCCTCCTCAAATTTCAGTCAAATTTTATAAGTCAATAAAGAACAAAAGCAGTTTATGAGATTACGCGCATGTTGCTGGAAGCTCACAAATTAAGAGTTCAAAGCTTTAGCTTACAGCGCTGCAGTAACGGGGAATTAAAACGATATATTGTAGAATACTTTCTTCAAATGCTGGCGCTTTATGACCCGATAAAAATACGCAGAGAAAAATCTTTTGGTGACTTTATATAAAAATCTCTTGGTGGAACAACCTGGTCAATATGTAGCCATGGTTAGGCTCAACGAGAATAAAAAGATTTGGTGAAAAAGTTCTCCAATTTACAATCAGTGTTCTGAGTGTATCGAAGTTCTGCTAATTTCTGAACGAAATTAAGTGTCTTGATCAAAATCCTGATGTGAAGGGCAGCAATATAAGTCATAACGCCATTGATCATTGGGCCCGAAATAGAGCCCCGCTATCGCAGAATTCGATTAAGCCGACATCATTTACACGCAGGAAATTTAATGGGTCACATTGTCCAAATTGGGACGCATTTTCAGGCAGATATCGCAAAAAATGGAGCAGAAGTAGCGTGTATACTTTTTTTTACGGCTTAAACTGGATCAGAATGACCCACACAAGGTCTAAAGTGCATCTTTATTTGGACAGAATCTCACTCATTTCTCTGAGTGTTTGCTCTACTGGAGCGTGCGCTTGCTGCAGGCTGAAAAACTTCGACACATAATTTGTAAATAAATTAATAAGTTTTCATATATTTACAATCAAGCCAGCTGACAGATTTGACCAACATTTTTTAACATTGTGGTTGAAAACAAGGGGAACTATAACAAATTTTGCAAGGTAAGAAGGCCTCTCTGCTGCGTAGTCATAACAGTAACGAAGTGAAAGAGGACCAAGATTAATTTCATAGATACGAAGGACACAACGCAACATAAATCGTAAACGTTGTTGAAAAGAACAGGAACCAAGAAAATTTTCATAGTGACGAAGGCTACACCACTGCATACGTCGTCTCTGAGGCCGAATGTAGGGGGAACTAAGATAAATTTCATTGATACGAAGGCAAAACCGATGCGTTTACCGTAACAGTAGTCGAACATAGGAAGAACTGGGATAAATTTAATATATACGAATGATACCCAGCTGTGTACGCTGTAAATTTAGCCTGAAATAGAGGAAGCTAGGATAAATTTTGTAGATACCAAGGCTACAGTGGTGCAAATACAGTAACTGTAGTCGAAAAGAGGAGGAACTGAGGTAAATTTTACAAATAATAAGCCCCTTCGCTCAGTACGTCGTAATTGCGGTCTAACGTTGATACAAAGACCACACAGCCATACACGTCGTAACTGTGGACGGATACAAACCTCACCTGTACACGGGCTGGACCACACCGCTGCGGTACCACAGCACCAGCAGCACCACAGCCTCACCTGTACACGGGCTGGACCACACCGCTGCGGTACCACAGCACCAGCAGCACCACAGCCTCACCTGTACACGGGCTTGACCACACCGCTGCGGTACCACAGCACCAGCAGCACCACAGCCTCACCTGTACACGGGCTTGACCACACCGCTGCGGTACCACAGCACCAGCAGCACCACAGCCTCACCTGTACACGGGCTTGACCACACCGCTGCGGTACCACAGCACCAGCAGCACCACAGCCTCACCTGTACACGGGCTTGACCACACCGCTGCGGTACCACAGCACCAGCAGCACCACAGCCTCACCTGTACACGGGCTTGACCACACCGCTGCGGTACCACAGCACCAGCAGCACCACAGCCTCACCTGTACACGGGCTTGACCACACCGCTGCGGTACCACAGCACCAGCAGCACCACAGCCTCACCTGTACACGGGCTTGACCACACCGCTGCGGTACCACAGCACCAGCAGCACCACAGCCTCACCTGTACACGGGCTTGACCACACCGCTGCGGTACCACAGCACCAGCAGCACCACAGCCTCACCTGTACACGGGCTTGACCACACCGCTGCGGTACCACAGCACCAGCAGCACCACAGCCTCACCTGTACACGGGCTTGACCACACCGCTGCGGTACCACAGCACCAGCAGCACCACAGCCTCACCTGTACACGGGCTTGACCACACCGCTGCGGTACCACAGCACCAGCAGCACCACAGCCTCACCTGTACACGGGCTTGACCACACCGCTGCGGTACCACAGCACCAGCAGCACCACAGCCTCACCTGTACACGGGCTTGACCACACCGCTGCGGTACCACAGCACCAGCAGCACCACAGCCNATGACAAGATCTCGACACGAATGACAAGATCTCGACACGAATGACAAAATCTCGACACGAATGATTAGATCTCGGCACGAATGACAAGATCTCGACACGAATGACAAAATCTCGATACGAATGACAAGATCTCGGCACGAATGAATGATCTCGACACGAATGACAAGATCTTGGCACGATGACAAGATCTCGACACGAATGACAAAATCTCGGAACGAATGACAAGATCTCGATACTAATGACAAAATTTCGACACGAATGACAAGATCCCGGCACGAATGTCAAGATCTCGTCACGAATGACAAGATCTGTTTACGAATGACAAGATCTCGACGCAAATGACCAGATCTCGACACATATAACAAGATCTCGGCTCTAATGACAATATTTCCAACTGAATGACAAGATCTCGACACGAACGACAAAATATTGACACGAATGACAAGATCTCGACACGAATGACAGAATCTCGACACGAATGACAAGAGCTAGGCACGAATGTCGACACGAACGCCTTGTGTGTCACGAATATCGATCTCAACACATAACGGAAATTCGTAGAAGTGACCTCGAAAATTAGAATGTAGGTACTACAATCGACGCTGAGAGTTAAACTCACATATACACACTTGCCACTCATACTTGCCACTCACACTTGCCACTCACACTTGCCACTCACGCTTGCCACTCACACATGCCACTCACACTTGACACTTAGCGTGACAGTGTTCGAGACACCGTCCCCCTCTATGTTGGAGGCCGTACAGGTGTACACTTGCCACTCACACTTGACACTTAGCGNACGGTTGATTACTAATGAGAAATTGTTAAAAATTACTGTTTCAAATTCTAGAATCAGTAATAACGTCCGTGCTCTCGAGAAATGATGAATATTATTATCAATATCATGACACACTTTCTTATCAACAGCACAAGCATCTGTCTCTTATACACATCTAGATGTGTATAAGAGACAGGCATAAAAGTGAATTGGATTCGTTAAGGCACAAGAGAGCGCAGCCGTGCACCACCAATTTTGTGCACCAATAAGCCCTGAATCGAACGCCTTGGATCTCTCCGGACATCCACCAATCAGCAGTAAACCACTCGGCTTTGTCCTCAACCGGCCTTGCATAGAACCTGCCGTGCACCACCAGGCCGCGGATCGAATCTGACTTCCGGGCATCGTTAAATTACGTAATTTTACGTTCGCCGTATCTGAGGTTAGGTTTCAGATAGCATAGTTCTGTTCCAAAATTTATCATCCTTCGACAAGTGGCCGTTCAACCGAGGGCTGGTTCGACCCGCGGCCTAGATACGGACGGCTTGAAGTGTTGAAGGCTACGTTCCGGAAGGCAGGAATCACGATGGTCCATTACATCTAGGGCAGTGGTGGTCTTCGGCAGGCGACCCAGGCAAAAGGGCACAAATGTGTTATTTATATTGTATGGGAGCACAAAAGTGTATTGTGTTCATTAAGGTAAATGGGCACAAATTTGTTTTCTATATTGTATAGGAGCACAGAAGTGAATTGTGTTCATTAAGGCACATATGGGCACAAATGTGCTATTTTAGTTTACTAAAGCACGGAATGTACTAGTGTTCGCTATGCACAGCAAGTACATATGAGTATATATGCTCCTATATGACATTTGAGCACAGCTCTGCAATGTATGTATAATGACATATTGATATAACTGTGCAATGTACGCATTGGAAGGCATGGCAGAGACGTGAAATGTATGTATCATGTCACTTAAACGTTTAAATTTGATTATGTTTACAAGTGGAAAATTAAAGCCTCCCTCACAGTCATCGCATCATCACTACGTCATCACTTCACTGAAAGTTGAATATTTTATCAATTATATTTTTATTTAGGCTGATATTCGGACTTTACATCATGCTTAAGTTATTCCATTTTCCATGCAACAATATTCTGCAATACATTTCCAAAGTGACTCTAAGCATTGGAGAAGAAAAAAAGAATTAATGTAATACCATTTATCATGACAGATGCATTAAACGTTGATATCAAATACCTTTTATTCTCAGAAAGAACTTCAAATCTTCCGTTACTATTCTGCTGCTTCAATTTCCCTTAATAAGTAATCAAAATTTTGTTGAATTCTCAGTTTAAAAACCCCAAGTAGTGTTCAGGATGTTGATCCAGCATGTTTTGAGGATTAAATTCCGTTTTAATTATCAAAAAGATGGCTTATGCGAAACCCCGGCCACATCAGCGCATTAGCGTGCGTTAATAATCAGATTTTCATGCTGGGATTCAAGTGGCCGCTTGCCTTATTAAGGCCATGTTATTGCCAGCAGTTCTTGATGATGAAGCCATAACAGAAGCCTTTCACGCAGACATAAACATGACCACTCAAAAACTCTTCAGTGTTCTTCTCTTCAGCTCCTCATACAAGCTCTACACTCCGCAGTGTTCTTCTCTTCAGCTCCTCTCGGCAACAATAAAAATCACAGTTTTTTTCTTCTTCAGCAGCTTCGTTGGCTCTGCAATCCTCGGTGTTCTCTTATGAGAAGTCCAATTATCGCGCGATTGTTAACACTGAGTACAATTACCGGTATTAATTCACAAATTATCAAAATACTTCCGAATCTCGTTTAAGAATGAAGAAAAAATTAAGGGAAGGAAAAAAATGATCAATGGAAAAATAAAAATGCGACCATGTAAGCACCGGATGCCAAGTGCTGCGATGTTACCTGCCATTCTCATAAATCATTTGGAATTTTTTTTAAGAGTTATGCCTTACTTGTTGCTGCAACTCACGCTGCGAGAATAAATTATTTCCTTCATTTGCATAATCGCCCAGGAGAGTGAGAGAGATTTTTGACCAGGAGTCATTGAAAGAGACGCCATTTTTCTTACAAATTCAATCTCACTGAACCAATTCACAATGAATCACTGCTGCCTACAACGCGGTCACGTCATTCTAGTTCAGGCTCTAACATAATACTTAATCACGCGTCTTTGGAATTTCGAGTAGTTTTTGTTAATTTGAGGTGAATTTGCAAGCAGCCGTTCAATTTTTGCAATAAGTATGACTTATTCCTTTATTTTTCAAATTGCATTCTGATGCTTAAAAGTTTTTTCGTTTATGCTATCACTGGTTAGAAACTAGTTGAGTTGTCATTGTTCAAAAAATAGAATTTTTCAAAGCGCATTCTTGGTCAAAATCAGAATTAATAAATATAGCAGCCATATCTGGTGGACACCTTGTGCAGAGACCAAGTCTGGTGGCTGCAATACAGTATATTTGAATCGAATCGTTCATTTTAGTAAATGTAGTTCATTACTGATAATAACAAATAATAACTACTAATAATCACTATACCTGGTGCAGCCAGACGATCTTGTACACAGCAGGACTGGGGTCAACTGTGCACTCGAAGTACACGTCGTCTCCTTCCTCATTAAATAGTTCATTTTAGTTAATGTAGTTCATTACTGATAATAACAAATAATAACTACTAATAATCCCTATACCTGGTGCAGCCAGACGATCTTGTACACAGCAGGACTGGAGTCAACTGTGCACTCGAAGTACACGTCGTCTCCTTCCTCGATCTCGGTCAGGTCCAAAGACCGGCCCGGACTGAGCACGGCCCTCGGGATATCTGCGTCAATATCATAACATTCATTATTCTCGTATCATAATCATCATAGCCCTTTTTCATGAGCCTCATATCATAAGCCTTATTGTTACCAAGAATTAGCAAGACATCATTGTAAATAAATAGCAGCGAACCCGCCTGTTTCGAGACAACGGCAGACTCGGTTTCAAAAATTCTTCATGATATCGTCGTGTAAATCATAATCTCACTATCATTGCGTCGAATATCTGCGTGGAAATCAGTACCCTCACCATCATCACTACCAGTATATCAGCGAAGATATCATGACCTTGCTGACATCACTAACGGATACCAGCGTGGACATCACAACCCAGACCGTCATCACAACTAGGATATCTGCCTTGCTATCACCATCCTCAACGTCATCACTACCAGGTATCATCGTACCATCATTATAAATGACTAACAGGCCAGCTCGGTGCTGGTCGAGCTAGTATTATTTTCGAGTAGGCTCAAGTATCAAATGTATTCAATATCAACAAAAGAGAAAGGCAGTTTGAATTTTCGTATTGAGTTCCGATTTTTAATGCGGATTGTATAAATTTTTTTCAGGCATTAATGCACAACAAAGTCTCGCTTTTCAGATCTTGTGCATTTTATAATCCGTTTGGTAATATTTAAACGCGTTTGAATTATACAGTATTTGTAATAAATAAAAACGTTCGAACGCGATTTATGATAACATGGAACATTTGACATGAATGATCACTTATAAGTTGATTTAAACGGTGGTAAAATTTGAATGAGAAATTTCATAAATGTTTGAATAATGAAATTAATGTATGAAAAAAGCACAAAATAAAATTGAGAATGGAAAATTCAGTTATGAGGAATGTCTGAAAAATCAATATATACATATATTAAAAATCAATGCATGTACATTTTGCGTATCAATGCATCGAAATATTTTATTTTTAAATGGTATAAAAAACTTGAAATGGGCCATATAAATGCCCTAAAATGTATGAAATGAATGTAAAGAGTATGAAATGAAATTATGAAATCAAACTCACAATGCGAATAGTAAATCATGTTGTAAAAAACGCATGTCATAGAAAGCTATAAATGAAATTATAAAAAAATATTTGATATATTCTTAAAATGACGGTTGATTACTAATGAGAAATTGTTAAAAATTACTGTTTCAAATTCTAGAATCAGTAATAACGTCCGTGCTCTCGAGAAATGATGAATATTATTATCAATATCATGACACACTTTCTTATCAACAGCACAAGCATAGCTAATGTAGCAATGCTACGCACATCTGCCGAGCCAGACTGCGTCAGGTTGACAACAAGCTTAAAAACCGGGACCAAAAAACCGGCAAAAATTAAGTCGCTATTCGAACGAAGGCTCACTCACAGTTTCATACAAATACACAACACACAATTTATCACACTAAAATGAAATACAGGCCAGCACAGTAGATGCCCCTAAAATTTCAGTCAAATTTATATGTTAATAAAGAACAAAAGCAGTTTATGAGATTACGCGCATGTTGCTGGAAGCTCACAAATTAAGAGTTCAAAGCTTTAGCTTACAGCGCTGCAGTGACGGGAATTGAAACGATATATTTTTAAATATTTTCTTCAAATGCTTGCGCCAGTGGAACAACCTGGTCAATATATAGCCACGGTTAGACTCAATGAGAATAAAAACATTTGGTGAAAAAACTTCTCCAATTTACAAGCAGTGTTCTGAGTGTATCGTAGTTCTGCTAATTTCTGAACGAAATTAAGTGTCTTGATCAAAATCCTGATGTGAAGGGCAGCAATATAAGTCATAACGCCATTGATCATTGGGCCCGAAATAGAGCCTCGCTATCGCAGAATTCGATTAGGCCGACATAATTTACACGCAGGAAAGTGAATGGGTCACATTGTCCAAATTGGGAAGCATTTTCTGGCAGATATCACAAAAAAAGGAACATAAGTAGCACGTATATGTTTTTTTACGGCTTAAACTGGATCAGAATGACCCACACAAGGTCTAAAGTGCATCGCTATTTGGACAGAATCTCACTCATTTCTCTGAGTGTTTGCTCTACTGGAGCGTACGCTTGCTGCAGGCTGAATAACTTCAGCACATAATTTGGAAATAAATTAATAAGTTTTTATATATTTCCAATCAAGCCATCTGACAGATTTGACAGTTAACCTGGTGGCGAATACTGGTATTTCTTTGACCATACAAATATAAATAAATTGAAATACTCTGAAGAACATATTAATACTTTCCCAGATTTTGTGATAAAAATATGCAAGAAAGTATACATATATGGACTATTAAGGATAATCTATAATATACGTAGAACATGTACGGGATAAATATAAAACTATAAAATTATATTAAGCTTACATTATCATGGCTCCACACCCCAAATGATTGTTGGAGATGAAGAGTTATGGCATAAAGAGTTAAGGGGCCAGGGGTTAAAGTTAAGCGTTGTACGTAATGGGGGTATCGTTGGGGTCGTGGATTCGTATTATGCAAGGTTAAACGATTAACTGACAGTTAAGCTAAAGTTTAAATGAATAACTGACAGTTAAGCTAAAAAGTTAAACCCTTAAGGGAGGGGGGTATGCCCTCCAGAAAAACTACCACATTTACTAACGGATCTCTCTGAAACTTCACACATATATGTAAAACCAAAATACAAGAACATTTTGTTCGTATGATTTTTTCGTAAAAATTAATAGGAAACGTGAAATTCATAGAAAACGGACAAAAAAGGGGGTACTGTAGAAATCTATCCCCTCCTAGGGTTTTTAAGCTACAACATTGAGACGCATATCATTCGTTGCGTGAAAACCATACCAATCGAATAACGAAGCCCGATTTTTTATTTTTTATTTAGTTTTTCTTCTACATGCATTTTTCCATTTTCTTCTCATTTTCTCCAAATTTTCCCTCCTCCCCCCGCCCCGTTTTGAATCCAAACTATACACAAATCTTAAAAAAAGAGTTCGTTACTCGATAGGTATAGTCTTTACGAATCGAATGGTATATGTCTCATTGTTGTAGCTTCCAAACTCTAGGAGGAGATAGGTTTTCCGTGACAATAACTGTGAATGTTGAGGAGAGCGCGACAAAGTCCCGCGCGAACAACAATATGCGCTCAATGTAGCAAAGATACCAAACTAAACGTTTCTGGAGCTTGATTCCACTCAGGGATGGTGGGAGCGACTACATGTGCACCTCCTCATACAACGCCAGGCGGCTTACTGAGATGCACCTCAAGCAAACACTGTATTTATAGTGCTGGCAGCGAATTAGTTCCTATCTAATTTGTTGAAGAACTCCTCCACCCGCCCCCCTTTCATGATCTGTCGTGAAAGCATAAATCAACGTACAGTGATGGCAATAGTACCGTTGGATAGGGCAGCATGTCAGCTTTAAGATGAGACTAAAAACCGGAAAAGCTAAATCCGAAAATTTTAGGGTATATTTCTGATTTACATAATCAGATTTTTAACATATTATATATTATATATATTATTATTATTATTATAACATATTATATATTAACATAAAACATATGACATAATATTCCCCCCCCCTTAACTGACAGTTGAGCTGAAGGTCTAACGATTAACTGACAGTTTAGCTAAAGGATAAACGATTAACTCACAGTTAAGCTAAAGGCTGAAGATTAACTCACAGTTAACCACGAGGGTCCAAGCATCGAAGAGGTGGGGGGCGGCGCCCTGGAGGTGGGGGGCGGCGCCCTGGGCGGTGTCGCCCACGCACTTGAGCGTCTTGCCGCCGTCGCCCACCGCCGGCGTCCACGTCAGGACGCTCGTCGTCACGTTAGCAAGCACCGATACGCTCTTTAGCTAGGCCAAACTGGGTCAGAATGACCCATGCAATGGGCAAAATGTGCATTGCTACTTGGATAAAATTTCTCATTTCTCTTGGCGATGGGCGAAAGAAGCAGTTGATTAAGCAGAATTTTTTGACTAAAATACGACGTTATTAGTGACCAGGGGCCATACTTTCAAAAAAGTTAAGAGATCGTAAGTTCATCAGTCAATCATTGACGGCCTTTTAATCAAAATCCACCAAAATAGAAATTGAGCGTAGAAAATAGAACGTAAGTACTAACGTTCATTTAGCGAATTTTGAAAGTATGGCCCCAGGAGTCAAACTATCAGAAATAGTTACGAGTTCATATAGCCTCGTCAGACAATCACTTGCTGCCTTGCTAACTAAATCCACCAATCACAAACGACCGTTACACGTACTCAGCTACATCGTTACACGTACTCACCGCTACATTGTTACATGTGTACTCAGGCCGCTACATTGTTACATGTGTACTCAGGCTGCTATTAGGGTATTCAGGTCGCTACTTGGTATAGTTGGGCATCATCTGTTCTATCATGCGTTATGATAGAGACCTGAGAGCATCTCTTATTAACAACTTTCTTGATGCTTTAACCTGATTATTATTATCCGTAACCTGATTCGCTGAATTGAGAAAAACAATAACAAATTTTTGTCAAGAAAAACTCTCTAGTCTTCAACGAAACTTGCACAAGACCGCTACTATGAGGTCGTTAGTTTCAGTTAGCGGTGAACAAAGCGGATAAAGTGGAAATTATCCCATGAAAACTCCAACATGAAATTTGAATATCCTGAAATAGACGTAAAACCTGAAACCTTCTTGTAATAAAACCTAACTTAAACAGAGCCGTAACTGTATATGGACGTCAAAGAACACGTTTTGGTCTGCATCGAGTCAGAATTTTAGACCAAAACTCCATTTAATTTCCTATTTTAACGTCTTTTAATTTGTCCGGGAAAGTGAACAGAATTACATTACGATCGTAGTTGTAATACTCACACTGTAGGCTGAAGGCATGGTTCCATATGCTGACTGTCTCTACACGTCATTGTATGCAGAGATTTTGTCCTAGTAAATCATTGTATTTACTGTCTGTAGATATAATTGATAAATTGGCACGGGTACATTGTCACTTATAATTTCTTCAACATTGATAACTTTGTATAAAGCCTGAATGATCAAAGATATTGTTCATAATTTCTCATGTGATTTAAATTAATGAAATAATTGCGTTGCGCTTATAAAAATTGGAAAATTGTACATGCTTATCAATTTTATGAAGTGCGTGGGTGACAAATACGTGGCCTGATTACATAAATGAAGGAAATTTTGTATAAAATTGCGTTTCATTTTTAATTTAGTTAAATTATTTGTAATTATTATTTATTCGAGTACTTCGGTCAAATCAAATTAAAACTCATTACAGTGTTAAAAAATTTCAGCATTTCAGTACAAAATTTGAAGACGACACAAATCTAAAAATACGTTTACCATCATCTCCATCGTTGCCAATAGCAACACGCGGGCATTATAAGAATTTTTAGCTCACAACTCAATTAATTTTCTTGTTAAGGAGACTCAACGCTAAAATTTTATGCAAGTTGAAATTCAAGCAGTAATTTTGGTTGATTACTAATATTATTTGTTATAATTTTTCAATTACAAGTATATTTTATTCTTGATGTTCTAATAAATTTAATCAATAATTAATTTTATAACTTGCTGTTACGGCTTTGCAGGAATGTTAGCAATTACTTGTTATTCAACAAAACTCTAATTAAGCTCTAACAAATAATGTGTTTGATAACTGGTTTGTGGTAGTGCGTGGGATTTTTGCCATTTATAGCTATCATTATAATTCGGATTAATCGTTGTTAATAATTAGTTGATTAACTTGTATATAACATTGCATGAAAATGTATTAGTAATTAATTGCTCTCATAAAAACTCGGATTAATCTAATTAATAATTAGCTTGTTTTCAAGCCATCGTAAGAATATCTGTAATTAGTTGTTATCGTTATAATTCGGATTAATCGCTTGTTAATAATTAGTTAATTAACTTGTTTGTGACACTGCATGAGAATTTATTAGTAATTAATTGTTATCATTATAATTCGGATTATTCGCTTGTTAATAATTAGTTAATTAACTTGTTTGTGACACTGCATGGGCATTTATTAGTAATTAATTGCTATCATTATAATTCGGATTAATCGCTTGTTAATAATTAGTTAATTAACTTGTTTGTGACACTGCATGAGAATGTGTTTTCTGTCCCTGACGTTACAGAGAGCGGAGATGAGCCGTCTTACTCGAGCGCACAGCTAAGCCTCTGTACTAATTAATTCCTTCCTTCATAAAACTACAAAGCAATTAATTTGCATTAAGAAAACAGAACAAGTCTGTGAATATCCACGCATTAAAGTGTTTTTGAATGAACGCTAGACTTTTTTGCATTAGGGATTAGGGGGAGAATTGAGATATTTTTAATTTTTTGACTAGAACAAGCTGCTCTTTGCACATTTTCAAGCTTTTTTATCTAGAAATTTTAAGCTATTAGAAGGCTTCAATGGGAGTCATTAGTAGCTATTAATGTAAACCTTAAAAGTTTTAATAATGTCATTTTTCCACTTTATGATGGAATTACCTAATATTTAGAATGTTGATTTGTGTTTTAATATTCTGCAATAATTTATTTCTTAATATAATATTTTGTCCATTGTCTACTGGTTATCTCGCTGGAGAACAATATCTACAAATTACCAATATCTTTATATCTTAAGGAATTTTAAACCTAAGAATATCGTGGAAACAAGATAGCTGTCCTAAAAGAACATATTTCCAACTTTTTTCAATATGTTTATAATGAATATCGAGGTTGCAGAGGCCGCAGTTTACTTCAGGAGAGATGCTCAATATAATTTGTTTGATAACTAGTCTCCATACTGTCGCGTTGTGTAGGTTTTTAGTTTAATTATTTGTGTTACCATACCAATAGTTGTACATTAAATCTTATAATAAAATTATTATTAAAATGAAAATTGACTGTGCAGTGATAACGCCTGTCAATGTAGTTGTAAAATGATGTCATTGGATCGCTACAAACTATGATAAATGATATGCACAAGAGCTATATGGGGTTTAAATTATGTAAAGGTTGGGTGGCCACTATTACGGTAACATATCTATAGTCAGCCTATAGTTTTAATAATAAATTTTTATAATTATCTATTATAATTATAAGTTTATTGTTTATAATAAATGTAATAAATATAATTATTATATATATAATGTAATTTTAATAATTATATTGCTTTTGTTATTGTAAATCCAATATATAATATTATATATTACATTATAAATAATATAGAAATATATAATTTTATAAATATAAACATATTAATAAAGGACGACTAATATACCCACCGTGGATGTGTAGGACGTTAAAGGCACGTCGTCGAGCGACCATGACAGCTTGACAGGGGGGCTATATAATGCTGACAGTCATATAATAATATTACTATAATTATAATTATAAAGGACGACTAATATACCCACCGTGGACGTGTAGGACGTTAAAGGCACGTCGTCGAGCGACCATGACAGCTTGACAGGGGGTCTATATAATGCTGACAGTCATATAATAATATTACTATAATTATAATTATAAAGGACGACTAATATACCCACCGTGGACGTGTAGGACGTTAAAGGATCAAACTTTTTATTGCAAACTTTGTGGCAGTTCAAACTTTTTACTGCAAACTTTCTGGCAGTTGAAACTTTTTATTTCCAACTTTCTGTTGTTTCAACTTTCTGGCAGTTGAAATTTTTTATTTACAACTTTCTGTTGTTTCAACTTCCTGGCAGTTGAAACTTTTTATTTTCAGCTTTCTTAAGTAAATTCCCGGTTTTATCGCGAAATTTATTCACATAACAGGCTCTTGATATTATTTTACACTAGCAAATTAGGTACATGATATCATTTCTGGCCTTATATTGTCACAAATTGAATAGAAATCAGACAATAATAATGTCAGCGTACTAAGAAAATATCATCATATTTTAATGAATATATGATATCTATTCTACGTTGTACATGTGCATAGACAACAATGAGCTTTTGGAACAATCAAATATATCAGATTATTAGAGTTTCAAATTAAATACAATTTTTCTGAAAAGAATGCCACAGTTGTACCTGTGTTGTTAAACTGTTCATCTATATCAGAACTAATTGATAGTTTTCATGAGGTTTAGCCCATTTATCGCACTTCTTTTTGAGTTTTTGCATATAAATTTATTAATATTCTATAATCCGAAGTTTGCTTCCAAAATGTTTTCATTGAAATAATGATGAATTTACGTGGCTGTTCTTCGCTTTCTAATTCATAATTAAAGGAACTCGTATGCTGTTTCATTCGTTGTGCGGTCATACCAATAGTTATAAATTATTAAAAAATTACCCCACAGGTAGCTCGTGTCACCGGTATACAATACGCCCTGAATACAACATAGCCGCACTTAGCGTGTTAAAATTATTATTATTATGAAATTTTTATTTATTATTATATGAATATCATAACTCAGATGCAAATAGAGGTCTATTATCGAAATTCTAATTAAATAAGACAAATATCGTGGCTCACATACGAATAATTATCTATTATTAAAATTGAAATTATTATTATAATAAGGTAATGAGCAAATCTCGTGGCTCACATGAGAAAATTTATACATTAATAAAATATAATTTAAATTGGTAATAAAAAAGGTAATGAGCAAATATCGTGGCTCACATGCGAATAGTTTATTAAAATATAATTGAAATTAATATTTAAATTGGTAATTGACATATATTATGGCTCACATGTCATGTCGACGGTGACGGCAGAACTGAGGGGCGTGGTGAGGGCAGTGTTGGTAGCCCTACATGTGAGGGTCCGGTGTAAGTCTTCCCTCGTCAGAGGTTCTAACAGCAACGTGTTGGCAACAGTTCTTGGCTCTACCACAACCGTGGTAGTGATCAGTTGTTGGTTGTGGGTTGGTGATCCGTCCAGCTGCGTGTCACCATTCCACCATGACACTGATGGTGATGGTGTGCCGCCCTCAGCGGTGCATTTTATACGAAGGGCAGCGCCCTCTTGCAAGGGGCCTACAATGGAGCTAACTTCGCTGCCATCGGCTGCTGTGATAGTCAGGCGCCGGGGGGGCACTGTTGTGTACACGCATCATAATTAATTAGTTGTTGTGTACACGCATCATAATTAATTAGTTGTTGTGTACACGCATCATAATTAATTAGTTGTTGTGTACACGCATCATAATTAATTAGTTGTTGTGTACACGCATCATAATTAATTAGTTGACACTCAGAGAAATTACTGATAATTTGTCCAAATAATGATGGATTTCTTGCCTCTTCTGGGTCACCTTAACACAGTTTGGCCCGGCAAAAACGACTTTGTGTACTACCGGCAGAAATTGTCAGCTCAGTATTTAGACAATATGGCACATTCAATTTTCTAACTGTATTATTAGAGACAATTAATAAAATTTAATAGCAAGCAAGGGTGGGTAAGCATTTTTGGAAGTAAGAATTGATTATTATGGGATGATTAATTCTAATGAGAAAATTAAATATTTAGTGAATTATCCGTACAGTTTGGCCATGAGATTGATACATCTAATTATGGGGATTATGTTTGTAGATTATGATTTAGAATTACGAATTTAAACTTGAGTCAGTGTTCAAAATTAAAACTATAATTTTATGAAATATAATAAAATTATGTTTTACATTGATATACAATTTCCTCACTTAAATTTCCCGTTCCAATCATCTAAGAAAATGTACTTTGAAATAGTAAATGATTGTTTCCATTCAGTTACCATATATTTATGTCAGACTAACGTGGCAAAAACTCCCGTATTCTTCACACGCCCGCGGGTGAGAAGACTAAAGTTTAAGACTTGATGTTAAGACTTGATTTAAAGACTTGATTTAACTTGATTTAATGACTTTATTTAAAGACTTGATTTAAAGACTTGATTTAAAGACTTGATTTAATGACTTTATTTAAAGACTTGATTTAAAGACTTGATTTAAAGACTTGATTTTAAGACTTGATTTAAAGACTTGATTTTAAGACTTGATTTAAAGACTTGATTTAAAAACTTGATTTAAAGACTTGATTTAAAGACTTGATTTAAAAACTTGATTTGAAGACCGATTTAAATAAAGTCTTGATTTTCTTTAGGAATAATATTCTCTAAGAATTTAAAAAATGAAAATTTTAAGCAAATTCGCCATTTATTCATCAGAAACGTTTCGCAGACCATCTCTATCATGAGATTAAATAGTTCTAATAGATAAAATAAATACCAACGTTTTCGATAAAGATACGGGGAATTTAAAGCGTTTTTCCTTTTTTTAAATTCTTGGAGAACTTGCGATTCCCGTGAGACTAATTACATGAATAGTTTTCTCTTCAAATTCTTGTAAGATGTTCATGACTGCTGACATGGATATTGTCTCGGCTAAGAACATCGGCTAAGCATAATTATATTATGAAGTAATATAGGTTTTATAAGGTTAGGTATTACGCACCTATAACTGTAAGGTTGACGGTGTAGGTGAGTGTGGGGTTCGAGCGGAAGTCTATCCTGCATGTGTAGGTTGCAGCGTCCTTAGGAGACACGCTTATAAGGTTAGGTTTTACGCACCTATAACTGTAAGGTTGACGGTGTAGGTGAGTGTGGGGTTCGAGCGGAAGTCTATCCTGCATGTGTAGGTTGCAGCGTCCTTAGGAGACACGCTTATAAGGTTAGGTTTTACGCACCTATAACTGTAAGGTTGACGGTGTAGGTGAGTGTGGGGTTCGAGCGGAAGTCTATCCTGCATGTGTAGGTTGCAGCGTCCTTAGGAGACACGCTTATAAGGTTAGGTTTTACGCACCTATAACTGTAAGGTTGACGGTGTAGGTGAGTGTGGGGTTCGAGCGGAAGTCTATCCTGCATGTGTAGGTTGCAGCGTCCTTAGGAGACACGCTTATAAGGTTAGGTTTTACGCACCTATAACTGTAAGGTTGACGGTGTAGGTGAGTGTGGGGTTCGAGCGGAAGTCTATCCTGCATGTGTAGGTTGCAGCGTCCTTAGGAGACACGCTTATAAGGTTAGGTTTTACGCACCTATAACTGTAAGGTTGACGGTGTAGGTAAGTGTGGGGTTCGAGCGGAAGTCTATCCTGCATGTGTAGGTTGCAGCGTCCTTAGGAGACACGCGTTGTAGACTCAGAGTTGAACGGTCAGCATTGAACGTAGCCCGCGCCCCTACAGCCTGAGTGTTCTTCCAGTGCGACGCAACTCCGCTGCGTACGTCGTAACTGAGGGTGAAAGCAGGGTGAAAATAGGCATAAATTGCATAAATATGAAGGCCACATCACTGCACACATTGTAACTGTGGTTGAAAACAGGGGGAACTGAGATAAATTTTGCAAGGTAAGAAGGCCTCACTGCTACGTAGTCGCAACAGTGACGAACTGGAAGTGCCCAGAAAAACTGACCTATAACCTCCCCCCCTCCCTAGTCGCCACTACCAGGATGGGCAATTACAACAACAACAACAACTGAAGACTCTCACTCGGAACTGCTGCGAAAAGCGCAAAATGTAGTCGAGCACTAAACCCAGGGAAATGAGTGGGACTCAGTCCCAGTAGCGATATACCATTACCCGTTGTGTGGGTTTTGGCTCGGCATAATGATGTAGCAGTGCTACGTGCAGAAAGTGTTTCACTTCACAAAATCGGTCAGTATATGAAACACTTTTTAATTTAGTCTTACTTGCATTTATTGTGACAATATGACCCGCTTATTTTTCTCGGTGTACAGTACAAGTAAACAAAACGATTCTCTCTCATGCATGGCTTCCGTATACTTTCAGAGAAGCTTATAATATTGCGCTCAGTTTGCGATTACAATGCATTTTGTGACGCAGCACTGCCGCTTATAATTGTTAATAAATAATAATTATGTACAGGGTGCGCCACAGAAACTTACTTATTTGAAAAAATTCCTGTGCGGTTAGTTGGTCGGGTAGAGGGGCGAGAGGGGGTGCATCTGAAGGGGAAAGTTCCCAAGTTTGTTTCTCAAAGTTTCTCAAATAAATTTGCTGTAGTGCAAGAATTAACTGAACGCGATTTTGTTAGAAAAAAATTTGGGATACTGTTTTCTCGAATAAAAAAAAATTTAAAACAATAACTGAAGTACTTTTGTTTTTATTGATCTTTCAAATATGTAAGTTTCTGTGGCGCACCCTGTACGATCTCACATGCGTTTTTATAAATGGGCTGTAGTGTTCGATTAATAATTTGTTGAATGAGTGCGGCAAATGTCACAAATATAATTTTTTCAAAACTCAACTTTGGCCATTTTAAATTTTATCAGGTTTGGTTTTCAAAGTCGTCCTCTAGCTCGGTTCGAGATTTATCACGCAGCGAAATTCGAGATTAAGTTCATGTTATAATTTTCCGCATCATTATGACTCTACTGTAAAATGTAACGAATTTAATTTATGAATTAAGAAGAATTTCTCTTTTACAGCCATCCTCTGCTAGTTTTCTGAAATCTTTCATTGGCCTGCCGAAAAGCTAAATTTTAAGCAATTTTTTTCGAGCGTTAACGCTGCTGCAAATGCATGCCTGAACTCTACAAATTCCTCGTGGAGATTTTTTTTTCCTTGCCAAATGCCTTCAATATGGTTTGATAAACTGCATCATAAAGCGATATCTGCAGTGGAGAAAAATTTATAGATGTAACTTTGAAATGAACCATCTAGGTTTACAAAGAGAAACCTTATAACATATACATTTCATGCGTATTTTACACCGTGAAATATGCACGAGAAATATTTTTCAATTAAATTTCTTTACGCCTTCCTGCCTTCGGCTCCCTATAGAGGCTCTTGAGCAACACGGCTCGGCTTTGCGCACTCAGAAAAATAAGTGAAACTTCGTCAAAATAGATATTCAGCCCTTGCCCTGATGTCGGTCATCCTGACACAGTTTGGCCGTGCAAATGGACATATCAGTGCAGCGTCCGCTCTCCGCTCGTTCTGAGGGTAAGAAACTGTGTCACTATTTGAACAACTTGACCCATTCATTTTCCTGAGAGCCTCTGACCCCTGACGCACCTGTACACGGGCTTGACCACACCGCTGCGGTGCCACAGCACCAGCAGCACCACAGCCTCACCTGTACACGGGCTTGACCACACCGCTGCGGTACCACAGCACCAGCAGCACCACAGCCTCACCTGTACACGGGCTGGACCACACCGCTGCGGTACCACAGCACCAGCAGCACCACAGCCTCACCTGTACACGGGCTTGACCACACCGCTGCGGTACCACAGCACCAGCAGCGCCCGGTCTTCAGGTTGTGGAGACCGCAGGTCGCAGGGCAGGTCTGCAGACCCCCCGGCCACCGCCACAACCGCAGACCACGGACCTGTGGTGTGGTGTAGCTCTTATATATATAGTATATACCTCTTATAGGTTTGATATATGTGTGGTATATGTTTCATATGGCGTGGTATGAACCTTTCAGTATTATTATGTGTGTGTATTCTAATAATTTTCATGATTAATGAAACTCATTAATAGAGCACAATTCTCAATCACGAATAAATTATCTTAATTCGTTGAATCTTCGTTTTAATTCTTCTTTACATAATTTTAATTCGTTTTCTACACGCTTTTCGGTGTGGAGAAATGTTTTTACTTCGAAAAATTCTTCCTGGTAAATATGCGTCTAATCAAAGGCTATCCCTAAAGCAAATATTCATGAGAATTTACGTGAAAAATCATAAAAGTCCCGCAAAAATTATTTTCCCTTTCAAAACCTAATTCGAATTATGCTACTCAGAACTCTGGATGTCCGTCCCGTAGTCATGTGGTTTTGTTCTTATTTTAAGAGAATGATGTCCTATATAAATTGTAACTGTAATATAATAAGCTGGGTTAGAATTTATAATAAAATAAATAAAATTTCTCGATAAGATCCCGACGCCGATGGCACACGAATGTCTCTTGTGCATTTTTAACGGCTTGAATCTTTACTCCAGAACTTGAGACGTAAGCTGGATTGCATGGAATTAAAGGAGCTCCCGAGGAAACACGTGACGGAAAAAATGACTTAACTCGCAGTTCTTAGGCAGCTGCGAGTTCTTTCTTTGAATTATAAACTCTTGTGCATTAACATTTGGAAAATAAATTCCTCAAAATAAAATGTTTTTATCAACCATCTCTCAACTAAAATTTATAATAGTTTTACAGAATACCGAAACAGGCTTTAATACTGCGTATGAACTTCACAATAAAGGCAATATATGTAAATAATATCGGTTAATGTGGATTACAACTTTGGATTAGTGGAGGAATGTTTTAACGCAATATCAATAAACAATATAGGTTAATGAGGATAAACAGTTATATTAGCATAATAATATTTAGCTACTTACTGACGTAGTCGTCTTGACCAGGATATCTAGACAAGATGCCATCGGGTGGTGGCACCGACACTTTGGCACTTACCACACTGCCACTAAACGCCACTACGAACAGCGTCATCAGTGTGCTGGCACTCTGCATTATGCCACCCTGCATACTGAATCTAAATGGTGACACTTGGCATACTGAATCTAAATTGTGACACTGGGCATACTGAATCTAAATTGTGACACTTGGCATACTGACTCAAAATAGTGACGCTTGGCATACTGAATCTAAATAATTAACATTCGGACGCCTTCATTAATTGTGAGAGAAGCTCCAGCACAACTCATTGCCTGCAACAATAAAACTAAGGATTTTTTGTGCACGGCGATGTGATAATTTTTCTCATGCAGTTTACGACGAATATTCGTAGGCTCATTTATGAAAGTTTGATATTATTGAACAAACCATAACGCACATACTTTGAATGAAACAAAATCCTGCTGGTATAATAGTTTTTTTTTTTAAATTATTGTCCGATGAATCGTTTAATATCTCTGTGTAGTAAATTCCTTCGATGATATACGCCTTTCCGATACGTGGAGAGAACCGGTACTAACCGATGTTGACCGAGAATCATGACTTCTGAGAAAAATGTGTTACAATAATCATAGCTTTGACCATGATTCTAAGTCATCTATCATTTCCTGCTTAAAATAATGTTACTAATGTCGAATTAGCATCATATAGATTTTTTAATGTTTGAGTGTTATGAATGATAATATAATTTCTTCAATCAAAGAGAACTAACCTTAATATTAAGAGCCCTCTAAGATATTATTCTACGAATAACATTAGGGAATTGTAAGTTCAAATATACGTCTGTTTCGTGCGCTCCAGCAATTGTATGAGTGTATTCGTATTCATGATGTATGAGGGTATTCATGATTTATAAAGGTATTCATGAGATGCGAATGCCGTCCGCTATGCTAATGCATTGATGATACTTACATAAATCATCAGTGCTCGGCGCATGAAGTAAACTCAATTATGTTAATTTGCTGCCGTACAAAAATGGATCTGCTTAGTAAGAGTTTGCTTATCTCATTTGATAGACCTTCATTCAATAGAAATTGTTCACATCATAGTCATAAATGTTTCGGTACACATCATTTTCTTTAACAATACCGTTTTCTCGTGATGGTAAATCTAACCATCACTATTTTAATGAGTAATAAGATAAAATGGTTACAATAGACCAATTACGTCATCAAATCATAAATTAATATACCGATGAGTCTTTGGTTTACAAAGACTTTTATCTCCAAGTAAAGACGATCGCAAGACTTAAGTTCATCGTAAGACAAGACTTAAGTTCATCGTAAGACAAGACTTAAGTTCATCGTAAGAGTTTTCAAGAATCACGTACAGAAACGGACGCATGTCAGCTCGACAGTTCCTGCACTCACAGCAATGAGTGATCTTTTGTCCAAATAAAGTCACAATTTTTGCCGTCGCGTTGGTCTTCCTAATCCAGTTTTGACAGCAAGCGGGCGTATCAGTGCTACGTGCGCTCTCTGCTGGGGCAGCGGATAAGAAAGTGAGTCGCTATTTGGATAATTTGATGTGTTCAATTCTGTGGGTGCGCTGGGCCACAGACGTCCAGGATTTGCATCACTTCTACATATGCTAGAATATCCTAGGCCTATCCAGGCCTATTCTTCAATGCCGAAGATACTATACTATACTATATGCAAATCTCGACTGCTGGTCTTCACATATTTATGTCTCCTCCTCAATGCCAGCCAGGCTTTCGAATATACACTTCAGAGTCATGATATGCGCGGAAAAAAGAATGGAAAACCTAATGGTATGTTTCACCGAAACTAAAGCCTAATTAGTAATAATTCGATTATTATGTAAGTATATATTATTTGCTTTAGCGTGTCACGATTATATATTAATGGAGTTAATAATGTTCGTTCTGCAAGTAATTTGGCTTGGTAGCTATAAGGACTTAGTTTCACGAAATTGTTTTATGAATTTGGTAATTTTTGATGCATTAGAAAGTATATAGAGTGTACCGATTAACTGTGAATATTAATTTCCTCATAATTGTAATCTATTTTAAAAACTTAAAGAAACATTTTAGAAACCATTTGAAGAAAATATTTGAACTGTAATGCTTTAACTTTCATCAGGTTTAGATTCAAATGCAACGTAGAAACTACAGCCTGAGTCACGTAGAGCGACTGTACAAGCAGCACCAATGATTACACTCTTCAGAGCCCTCGTGCTCCCCAATCTTGAGTATTGCTGCCAGCTTTGGTCGCCACTCAAGGCGGGTGCGGTGCAGAAACTGGAGGCAGTGCAGTGGACCTTCACGTACAGGATCAGCGGCATGAGGGAGCTGAACCTGAACTACTGGGAAAGACAGAAACACCTGGGGCTCTACTCACTGGAGAGGAGAAGAGGGAGGTATATCATACTGTACACTTGGAAGATGATAAACGTACTGGAGTCCTAAATTATTTATTTAAATATTTATTCCCCTGGATACACTAAATTGTTTTATAAACTTGATAATTATTGATGCATTGGAAACTATGTAGAGTGTACCAATTAACTGTAAATAATAACTCTCTCATAATTGCAAAGCATTTTAGAAACTTAGAAGAAAATATTTTAAGAAAATCTTTTAACTGTAATGCTTAGATTTAAAAATTTTAGATTCAAATGCAACGTAGAATCTACAGCCTGAGTCACGTAGAGCGACTGTACACTTCATTAGGTTTAGATTCAAATGCAACGTAGAATCTACAGCCTGAGTCACGTAGAGCGACTGTACGCTTCATCAGGTCTGCCGTGGCTGCAAATGGAAGCAGCGGCGCTACAAAGACGAGCCCTCAATAATGTTCTGGGACGATGGACCAACACGAGATGGTGCACTGGAAACAATAAACGTATCACATTGTCCATATAGTGACACACTTTCTTACCCACAGCACGAGCAGTGAGAGGAAGTGCACCGATATGCTCTTTTTGTTGTATTAAACTGGCCTAGGATGACCCACAAAAGGGCAAAAAATTCATTGGTATTTGAACAAGTCTCACTCATTTCTCTGAGTGTTCAGCTCTGTCTGTGTCTGTTCATTTCAGATACGCGTGTCAATTCTACGAGGGCGCTGGAAATGTTATATTGACTTAAGGTATTTGCATAGACATTCCTGGAAGACAATCTATTATTAGAAACTTCATGACAGAAAATAAATTGACTTGGCTTTGAGTCGAGGCATTTGCGTGAGAAATTCGAAGAAGATAATCTACTTTTAAAAACTTATATCATTAATCTGCTTAAATGAAAATTTTACTGAAAATTTGAAATCAAAGAAGGCGCTAAGTTTTCTTGGTGTATAAAATATGGTGAAAATCCTTGTCGTATTCTTGCTTTTAGATTCTTGGTGAACTTTTCGAAACTTTGTGACTGAAAATAAATTTACTTGGCGTAGGCATTTGTATTGATGTTATCATTCGAGAAAGATCATATACTTATCACAAACAAAAATTAGAAACCTTCCTTTGAATTTCGTACCAATTTAATCTTACCCTTCATCCTAAGATAAGAGCAACTCTCAATCTAGAAAAAACTATCGAAAATCATCGGTATTCGAAAATCATCTTGAGCCACCTGGGATTCTCATAACAAGGGAAATTCTTTACGTGTGCCGTAAAATTTTACGAGCATTTCGCAGCATTCACAGTTCGTTGATGGTTTTTCTGAGAAGACTCTGCTGCTCCCGATACTCACACGACATCCAGAGAAATGAGCGACACTTTGTCCAAATAGCGATGTTCTTTTTGCCTGGGTTTGGGTCATCTTAACATAGTTTAGCGCGGGGAAATATGCGTATAAGTGCTACGAGGAGAAACTGTGTCAGTATCCGGACAACATGACCCATCCATGTGCCTGAGAGTGCAGTTACTGGGCGGGAATTTATCGCAAGCGCTTTATTTTAGACTGTGATTGCGTTCAGCAGCTCAGTCTGATGCAAACCTTTCTTATTCTACGACAGTTAAGTGGGTACTCACTTGTCAGGCTGAACTTTTATCTTATGTATTGCAATGAACGTGGATGTGAACAAACGTTTTATTGTAATTTACCAAAAAAGCTTATATTCACGTTAGGCAAGAAGTACCCTCTGTACGTAAGTGGAATTATTTGGGGATGAGGTATTTCGGGATTCTCGAAAATTAGGTAAAATTCTACATTCTTTCTTATATGATGTGGTGTTTTGTAAATTTCTTTAGCTTGTTGCAGTGACTACGAGAGGTAACAATTTTCATGTAATTATATATGTATTTGTCTAAGGGCTTGTTTATCTTTGCACCATCTGCAATCAGCGTTCAAAGGTTTTTTTTCAGTTCGTACGCACAATGCTACGTTCAGTTATTGCGTCATCACAAAATTGATTTCAAGCAATAATCATTTGACATTATGTAGAGTAATTCAGGTGCGTGATAAAATTAAGCGTTACTTTACATGCAGGACGCATTTACATCGAAATTTAGCGCAACGCGACCTCCATCCTTCTCAGAGTCGCGGTCAAGTGCGGTAAGTTTCCGAGCAAGATGCGGCAAGACTTTCAGGTGTTAAGTATTCAGGATTATACGAAGACGTTAAATTAATTGTTCGAATGAATGATGCAACACAAGTTCCAGTCACTTTTATTCATGTATGGTTTAAGCCAACGCAAGTCATCCTTGAATCTCTCTCGCCGTAATATCAATACGAGGGAGACTCTTCCTGAAACCTGTGCACTTTTGCCCGTGTGTGGGTCATCCTGACCTACTCTGTCCTTGACGTAGTTTTTGCCCCTGACCTCCGGATGCAAACGGACGTATCAGGGTTAATTGCTCTCCTTTTTTTCGCGCTGTTGGTAAGAAATTGTGTCACTATTTGCACAATAGTACTCATCCTTGTTCTTTCTTTGTTGACTGACTTATAATCAGTGACTCGAGTCAGTAAGAATCAGCGACTCGAGTCAGTGAGAATCAGTGATTTTAAATTTTATCAGTGACTCGAGAACGATTCTTCTAAGCTATCATCTGCCAACGCCAGATCATAAATCATCTTCTCGTGTCACTGACCAACGCGA